AAGAATTTATCACTGTGTTCCCATTACTCTTAATGCTAAGTTATCGATTTGGGATCACTGTGTTCCCAATTGTTCATTGAAAAATTATGTACACACTTGTTGCTAACTTCTATATTATTTTTGACAATCACAATGTAATATATATATATATAATATATATATATATATATATATATATATATATATAATTTTGACGCTTTTAGTAACATTCCCCCTCTCAACTTTTTTTGAAATTTTGCGCTTTCGCCCTCTCGCTCCCGTTCTATGTGATCTGGCTCTTGGACCCTCACTCAATCGCATCATGAGAAAATCAGTTCATGTTTTTAATACAGATCTTATTCTTATAAACTGGATCCGAATTCATGATTCTTAGCAACTGTTACATGACTAAAAGCACCGTATTGACTTCTCCAAAAATCATACTCGCTCATAACAAATTCACAAGAAATTGATAGGAGAGCTATGTCAGACTCACATCAAGGGCAGATGCATCATCCCCTGTGGAATAATTAGCCGATGAACGCAAAGCCTTTGTCTTCTGATCAATTTCATCCAAACTGTATGCTGTGAAAAAAAAAAAAGACAAAAAAATTCAATAATTTCGAAATCAATCAAACGAACCTCACACATTTAACATTTTTCTTCCCTTCAATCACGTGTAAAACACCTATCTGAGATAAACAGCTGTATATGAAAAGATAGCGAAGAATACCGTAGGTGGCGTAACTAGCTGTAGCAACGCCTCCGGTAAGTGCCGCGACGAGACTGTATTTTAGAAAATTCCATGGTTTCTTCTCTGCTGCAGTTGCCTGCGGCTGAGGCGGTGGCGGAGGAGAAGTAGGAGGGGCGGGAGCTTGATTGTTGAGAAAAGAGGAAGAAGAAATCATTGGTTCTTTGGGAGGATCTGTAGTCACGCTCGAAGAAAATGGACGCTTCTTTCTCTTCGATATGATAGAGAAAATCCGAGAACGAGCTATTGCAGACATTATTGATCTTCTCCGATTCACTTCGAGCTTCGCATAGGATTGAACGGATTGGAGAGAGAGAGAGAGAGATTGCAGGCGTGTTGAATCAGGGTTTTGTTAGGGCTTTGAGTTCAACTTCTGAAAATGACGAACGGCTACGAGCTGGTGTGGAGAAATTTGATGGACGAAAATACCCACTTTGAGTCTTACAATGGGAGTGTTTGGATGCCGGTGGTAGGGTGTGCGTCATGTGGTTTCACTATTCGGGACTCACCGACTTAGAGTTGGAAAAAATCTGACTCCTCAAAACTCCATTACTGTCGCTGTCAAAAGCCTGATAATCCGGCCAAGTTTTACGGGCTCGTAATTTTAAACGAATTTAAAAAATTATTTAAATTTAATATTTAAAAATTGAATCTAAAAAATTATTTAAATTTAGTATTTAAAAAATGAATCAAACTTAAATCAAGTCTAAAACGAGTCAAATTCAAACTGAATCTGAATAGCTCGATTATTTTATATACCAGCAATGCTACATTGACTGGAACCAAATTTGAAACCTAAATGACATGAAAGTATATTATTTGAAGTTTTTATTGAAGCTCAAATGATATGACATCAAAAAAAGAAGCTCAAGTCAGCTTCCATGTCATTTAAACTCTAAATTTGATCCCAAAATTTGATCAATGTAACATTACTCTTTATATACACACAAGTCAAATTTTACGAGCTCGAGCTTAAGCTAAATCTTTTTAGGCTCATTTTCTAAACAAATCTAACAAATTGTTCAAGCTCAACTCGCGTAGATTCCAAGTAGATTCCTATCCGAGTCAATCTTTCAATTGTCGGCCCTAATTGCCACTTTATGCTAGAGAAAAATAATTTTTGTTCACTTTTATAAGTTGACAATTCAACTTCCTGACTCTAATATTAGATAAATTTCTACGAGTAATTACTGTAAACAATTTAAATTAAGGTCTATAACTAAGAATTAATCTTTTTTAGTATACTATCAAAAAAAAAACTACCTTTTAATATTGTAGCCTTATTTCCTGTTTTTCTTGCTTCTTCAATTATATCTTTTTTTCCATGCATCTATTTTTCTTTTTATAAAAAGTTGATATCAAATTATTAGGCAATAATTTGATTTTAAAAAATTTCAACCATAATAGAGTCAGTTAGTCTGACACAGTTAACTAATAGATCGAAATGATCTAGCCACAAACTATTAAAAGCGAATTAGATGTGATTTGAACAAGTTTTGATATGTAATAAGCCAAATGCAACACAATAAAGTTTTGATACAATGAACCAAATGGAACTGAAGAAAGTGAGAATGTGCACAATGGAGTCAAACAAGGTACTTTGCCTTGGTTGCATCTACTCGGATTAGTGCTCTGTTCAGGGAATTTGCACGTAAGATGCAGTGACTAGTTGTCCCAATGAACAAGTTATAATAAGGTTTTTGTAATTGCTACTTGATTATGTCAAAATCATATCAGTGGCTAAATGTGCATGATGACAGCCCCAAGGGGTAACAAGTTTTTTTTGGTCAACGGTCAAAGATATCTGAAAAAGAATATACAGCTTGTCTACGAGCCAACACAGTCTCATCTCCTCTGTGTGCCAATATATAAATAGTAATTTTTATTTTATTATTTTTTGTTGGTGGAGAGAGGGGGGGGGGGGGGGGGGGGCTTTTTGAGGTACAATGTAATTGTAAATTATCTAAGATATGCAAAAGGTTTTGTGTATGGTGTACTTGTTACATCCGTCTAATCGGATTCAGATAATTAATTTAAAAAATAATTCACATCCGTCTAATCGAATTCGGGTTCAGATCAAAATTTGATTCATAAACAATTTTAAACACCACCACACAAAATATATAACAAGGAAAAAATAGTCAATTAAATAAACTAATATGATTTATTCAATTAAGGTAATTAATCTCAGTTGGCCAAGTAGCCATACATGCTACTTAAGTTCATTACATTCAATGAGAAGAAAAGAAAACTTGAAGGAATACTCAAAAGTTCAGTATTAAAACCCTAATCTTCCACCTTAGGAATATCATAACAAAGTTGCAAGTCCAAATTAGACCACGTGCTTAATTCTAAGACTATTAGTTTTCTTGCTAGTCAAGAAACCAAAAAACAAGCCATGCATGCCTTTTGTAGATCACAAAACGGAGCAAAAGTTGATGGGTTCATCTTCGTAAGAATCATACACCGGTGGTGGATATCCCGGGACATACCTAGCCCGTTGCGGCGAGCCGTAGCCGTAGGGAATGGTTGTGCTGGAAGTAGGATATTCCCAAACTGCCCTTCTCATCGGGTAGTAATAGTATTGTTGGTGTGTATCGTAATATGAATGTTCCTGCAAAGCCCTTCTGTACCTGTAGGGTTCATCTATGGCACCATAGCCATATGAGCCATTGGCACCGTAGTTGTACGGTTCATACGAGCCATACGGACTGTATCCATTGTCATAATTAGAGCTATTCAGTACTGGGTGATTGAGCTTGACCCATATGAGTTCTGCATGTCTTCCGGATCTTGCTAAGGCCCTAAGAAGCAGGTTCGGGTCAACCTCACCCGAAACTTTTGCCGTCCCTGCTTGTGCATCTATGGTGACAGAATAAACTCCTAGAATATTTAACGGCAAAACTTTAGGGTTGATCTCAAGGTCAGCAACTTCAAAATACGACCAACTAATATAGTAACAAAAAAAAATGGCAGTCAAGTGCACGAGGCGTGCCTCTCGGGTGTGGGGGTAAAACTTTATTATATTTACATGTCACTATGTATATGTATATATGTGTATGTGTATGTGTATATCAGATTTTGCAATTCAACTGACTATTACACACTAACTGAAAGTAAGATGGTGAAAATCTACCAGAGATTGAACCCAGCACTTCCAACATCTTCATCTTGCAAGCCTGGCAATGGACATCCACTTTCAAAAGACAACCCTAGAAAATGGTAATCAAGGGTATAGACGTTTAGAATACAGAACAAAGGTATACATAGATTCAAAGATACCGAGGGACATATATGTTTAGAGTAATGCTATTAAAACCTAAAAAACTGACCAAATTAATCTTTCATACTTGTATGTACACACACACACATATATATGAAACAAATAAAGGTATTGTAGGTTACCACGTCGGCAACGTGCTCCATTGAGAATCACTTCCGATGTGAAACAATCTTCAAGAACACCAAAAAGATTAATAACTGTGTTGTTCTCCAACTACTCTCTGATGAATGTGTTTAATCCAAGGATGAATCCCTCTTAAGAAAAGGGGAATTGAAGATGATTAATGAGGACCCAGAACTGTATTTGTAGATAATTAATTCATAGGCATTGGAAAAAAATGGGCCACAATTAGGTAATGTCGGATTTACTATATAAAAAAAAAGTTAGCAAATTAACTCAGATCATGTTATTCATGGTAAGCTTTTAAAAGATCATATCTTCACTAATTCACTAGGAAAAAGTCAAATGTACATAATAGTACTTACTAAGATGTACATGAAGATCACTTTTACAGCATATTTTTATTTGTCTGATAAAATAGTTCTTATTTAAAAATTAAATTTAGAAGAAATTACCAAATCATATTTTTTTCCTAATGGAAAAGGTGGTTAAGAGCGACGAGAGATAACAACTCCTTAAGACGTTATCTTGAAGTTTTCACTCGCGCTATAAAATATTCGATTTGAGACGGAGCTAATGACTTGGAATGATCGTATCCATCGCCAAAACACATCGAATGCAAGTTGCACATTTAGATCCTCCAACAATATCTGATTCATAAAAATTACTACTGCAAGAGGATTCGAATCTACGACCATTGAAGAAGGCGAAACTTTCACCCTCTACTAAAGTCAATTAGATTACCACCTCGGTGGTAAATTACTAAATTATATATTAATTGTTGTATTATATTATACAGGGGGATAAGACTATGGGCAGTGAGGATTTGCATCCAAGAATGGGCTTCGTTGGGCATCTCCGATCATAACTCAAATTTTTACTTAAATTTAAAGTAACATTTGAATAAGAAGCTTTATTTGATAAAAATGGCTTTAATGAACAAATTCAAATCTGAAAAATGAAAAACCCAAATTTAAAAGAGAGTAAAAATAATCATTGAATCTTTAAAAAATGGTAAAATCTCACCGTTAAAGATTTGAGTAAAGATTTAAATTTCCCTTGATTTTGAATAAATTTCATTTGATATAAGTTTGAATTAAAAGTTGGAACAAAATTTTTAAACTTTTTTACTCAAATTTAAAGTTAAACAGCAGGCTTAGGGATTGGAATTATCCAATGGAACAAGCGTTAAAAAACAATGTGCCCTGGTAGCACCTTACCTTTCCACCAACAATTCAGTAATTACTTACATTGAAGACCATTCAATGAAGGAAATTCGATTCAGAATTAGAAAGTTAGAAGAGAAATTAGTCAAAAGCATGAAAAGGAAAGCAATATGACGAACACAACAGATTTCATTACCTTTTACAGAGAAAACCAACTCAATATCATTTCTATTACCGTACGCCCACATAATTAACAAGTTTTAATCACCTCAAGTTAACAAATATCATTTCTCTTGCCGACTCTCATCCTCATTTCCATAAAAAGTAATCTAGGTATATCATAGTTGTAGGAGGAGAAGTAGTACACAGCTGGGGGCAATTTGGGCGGGCCACTCCAAACCCAACCCGAAAAAATAGTATTAGGATTGACTTTGCTAGAGTTAAGATTCAACTCGAATTGATGAAATCGAATTCAACCTGAATCTAACCCGAATTCAACCCAAATTCATGCATTATATTTATATAAATACATATTTTGTAATTATTATTATTATTTAAAAAGAGAGTAAAACATAATTTATAAGGACTCTAAATGGTGAAAAAAAATTACACAAATAAAATGTAATAAGTTAAAAAAAACAAAGAGTTATAATCCTACATAGGATAAACAACTCAAGTGACATCTCCCCTCTATGAAGAAGGTTTACCTTTACATCTTTAATATGTTGTCTTGATATGTTTCATCTTAGTGGATCATATAAGCCTATGTAATAGTTCAACATTAAGCCAAAGCTCACTTAATTTATGATTACTATTTGTTGAATCCGAATTGCCAACCTAAATTAGGTAATTCTATTTCAACCCGAATTTACCCGAAATCAACTCGGACAATACTCGAGTTGAGCATCTCGGGTTAAGATCGAGTTCGGATCGAAAATTTTGTACCTAAAATTAGGCTAGGGTTAATCCCTCAACCTGCTCAACCCACCCAAATTGCACCTCTAGTACACAGTGCAGAAGTAGAACCATCGCCATCAGTATTGTGTGAAGGGTTACTTGGTACTTTTTCTCACAAATGCGAGTACCCAAGCACTATGACTTTTAAGGAACATTGTGTCACATTTTTTGTTTCGTTAGACTGAATTTCTTTTCCGTAACATAATGTTTTTCTTTCTATGACCTTTTAATGACATAGTCTAAACTGATTATATTAGATTGACAAAGATTTAGATGTACAGTCCACCTTGAATCTTAGATGGTACATACTCTTCTGACAAGAAGGAGATTGAGTGTACCGACAACGCTTCTATCTCGAATTTGACCCCTCTTTGAAGCAGCAGCTCAAGCTCCAACCTTCAATGAGAGGTCCACAACATTATATCATTAGAAAATGAAGAAGAATAGCTGTATATCATAAAGAAAGGGAGTCACAGAATGAAACCTCCAGTGAGATACTTCTCGTTGCAAGTAACATCGGTGTAACATTGCTTCAATTCTCGTCTTATCTGACAAGAAATTTAGGATGTTCATCACAATATACGAAATGATAACCCAAACGAAAGAGATCTATTCATTAACATACATCTCACCTTCAGCTGTTAAAGGAAGGAGACACTGTTGTGGAAGATGGTATCTTTCACAATCCTGTGGGAAAGCTCCAATCCAGCGAATCCCTGGGACACGGAGAAATTCTGCATCGTAGGCCATTTGCTTTCGGAAAGGCAAGATAAAGAGGCCATGCACCGGGGACGGGGGTGAGGAGGGAGGGAAGTAAGTTGGTTATGAACTTGTATTGATCGAAATAGGCACTATCATAGCATTAAGATAACATCGAAACTGCAGCTTCTTTGATCAGAAAGCCTCACCATAGAACCAAAACGGTATGTAGTTAAGATATCAAATCCATATGGATCACAATCTACCAAGCAATAGGTAGGCAGACCCAGCTTTTCAACGAGGAGACGCAAAAATCTGGTTACAAAATAAATGCATGACCAAATAGACATGAGGCCAAAATCATCAAGCAACAATTGTAGCTATATCCTAAGAACATATTTAGCAACATTTTCTGGCTCTGTAAGAAATGAAAAATGAGTCTTTACCTTCTTGTCGGAACATCAGGATAGCCTCTTCCCTGTTAAACCATCATTTATTAAACCTGATTTTGATGAAAACTTAAGCCCCCCCCAAAAAATACTCACTGTGACGACAATACATCGGTTTCTTTTGCAAAAGTGATCATTTGCTAATCTCTGAAACACTGCATGATTACATTCGATAAATATTTCATGAATCGAGAATCAAAAACAATATGGGTAAATAAACTAAATTACGAGCTTGGCTGAACGGACGTTTCTACCTGATTCTTTCTCCACAACTAGTATGTACTGAGCAACACTAACTATATCTGCACGCAAGGCTTAAGGGACATAACAATTCTGAGCGTATTTGTCTTCACATCATCTGCAACCCTTGATCCAGTACATACTAAACTTGTGTGTGAATTATAGGACAAACTCCATGGATCATTAAAAATCATCTTCGAAAAAATCAACTTTCTTCTATGCTGAACTTTTCTTCTTTTTTTCCAAAGTTGAAGATCAGAATCAAGATGATTGCACTATGGTTCATTACATACAGGTTATCTAGTTATGTATACAGCTGTCATGATCAACTGGATACTGTTGACTACTTCTACTTGCACAGGAACAGGATGTGCCTGCCAGATAGCCACACATATGCATTCAGTTCAGACTATTATGCAATAGGAGCAAACATACCATCTCATGTTCAATCTCTAGTTCTTACAGTGTTAGGAACATTTATGCAATCAAATTTCCTTCCACCTTCGAAGAATCTCAGCCAACCCATCACCAATCTAGAACAGGAATAAATTGATCAATGAACATTAGAACCAGTAAACGCACTCAATAATTGCAAAAACCAGCCAATAAGCCCACACTATAATTGCATGAACAAAAGCAAAGGAGCAAAACATGCAACACACGATGAAAACATAACCAAGAGAAGATTTCAATCATGGTACCAATTCAATAATTCAGTGAACACTAACTCTTTCTTCACATTACCCCCCGAGCCCCAAGTAAACTCTACAGTAGAATGTTAACAAGTAAAACAGTTTATGTACAATCTACTCCTGCAACTATGGTCAAACTGTGCCTCAGCCATGATGAGGTACACTTCTTCCAGTGTGATTAGCAGAGGTCTCTTTTGTCCACAAATATTAGAATGTCCATAACTCTGGCCAGATTTCTAATTCGTATCCTTAATGGAAATAATAATCTAGGAACATATAACTATAATTGCTGGAGTTAACACTAATTTTTCTTTCTCCTATATCTCTCATTTTGTTGCTTGAAAAGAGAATAAGGATGTGATTTCATGAAATTTTAATTCAGAACTAGCCATATGAACTTTCACACAATTTGCTGACCTTGATTTCTAGTGCAATCAAGATGGCAAGTTGGTTACTGCATTTTAAATGTAAAAAATACTTGAAATATCACTTGAAGCAAGTGGTGGTACAAATATAGTATCATCTTCCACAAAACCAGTGTGATCTTGAGTAGGTACCCACCCTTTTCCAACAGATACCTGCAACAACGAAATAAAAAATAAAAATAAAAAAATAAGATATATATCAGCAATAGCAAGTTTCCCATCAAAACTGGGATCCAGGTCATGAAAGCAACATAAGTACTAGAAAACTCCAATAAAGCATTCCTTCAAAGTTGTTTGACCTTTCACCTAATGAGTTCATGAAATATTTTTGACAAAAAATAATGTAAATTAAAGATTTGCAACAAAAAACATAGTGAACCTACATTTTCCATACAGCAACATATTCATATGAAATATAACCAACCATCTAAGATTCTACACACTTATATTTGAATCAAGAAGACTGAGCCCATGCATCTCACAATGTGCAACATCGACCACATGTGAAAGGGCAGCAGCCATCCTAAGTTGAATATTGCCCTACACCGCATTATAAGAAATAAAACAGAAGATAACAAAGATTAGCATTGTCAACACTATCAAGTTTTGTCCACATTTTCTTCAAGTTGGCTTGATAAACATGCTTCAACATTTTATTCTATGTAGACCAGATCCTCCGCCACCTATTATTGAACCAAATGACTACAAATTGAAAAGAAAAAGGGAAGATGATAATAGCAAATACCACATTTAGGTTGTGGCGACTGCACTGCAGAAGGATGCAAATGTCATTAATCGCCCGGTCAACAACTGACTGTTCTGTTTTGAAAAGTGAGATTATAATTACATAGAGAAAGCAAAATAATAAACGAAAGAAAGCATTAAACTCTAAGAAACATAGCAGTTCACAGCAAACTGATATCCTCGCATCCCTGAAAATAGAATTATAGACTTCACTATATTTGGCAAAAGCAGCATACAAACTAAAATCTGCAACACGTCCCAAAATTTATGTTATGTGAATCCCATACAATAATGCATTTCCACATGAGCCAAAAGGGCATACTCAGATTTATCTCCAAGTGCATATGCTTTCTAACTTCCAAGCACTGGTTCCAAAAAAAAAAAAAACTATTAACAAATGGACACTGGATGGCAATTCGGATTCACCTTTGAAAACAGAAGGATGCATGTAATATATATCTCTTTTTGAACCATGTCTATTTTCTTGCAGAAGCTGCTGAACAATAAGTAGCACTCTTAGCAAGATATCTGCAAGGATGGAAAGACCATGTAAGATATACATTTCCATATTTTGGTGGAGAATCCAGAAAACTGAATCAAATAAGATTAAGAGTCCGCTTTGTGTCTCCTTTAGACTGTGCCTGGTTCTTAAAAATAGCTAGGGAAAGAAAAGGGCAAAAATGGCTCATATTATTAAATTTTACTTTGTTTCCTTGCTAGTTCCCACATTTCCTCACCGTATTTTGTGAAAAATTCTACTTGTTCTGGAGGTGTGAAAATTTCCCCTTTTTCTCCTTTGTATTTTCTTGTCCTCACAATTTTATTACACATCCAAACAAGATAAAGTGAAAGTCCCCATCATTTTCCTTTCTTTTCCTTCCTGTTGTCTAAGTTCCAAATTGGAGCCTAAAAATATCTAAAATTCCAAGAAGAATTCCCAGATGTAAAGCATGACTCACCCAGCCTCCGTATGTTTTGTTCCCTCTGTAGAGTGAGAATTTCCTTTCCTTTGGCAAAATCCAAGCTACAACTGCTGCATACATGTGCAATTAAATTGAGCTCTCCCATAATATGTAAGTATTCACCGGAATACTCATTAATTGAAGATACTTCAAACACAGATTGTCTTATATAATAAATCCACCCCCTAAACAAATGAAACATTCAGGGATCCTTTTGGATCACATGTACAAATAAGCAGATTTATTATCATCATAGAAGGGAAAATTTGAGTTAACCAATGTATCGTAAAACTAAAATTCAGAGAGTATTTGTATATAAAACTGTTAGAGTATGTGTGGCTCATATTTGTTGTGTGCATAATGGCAAGGAGGCAGATGCCGGAGCAGGCGGAATCCGCGACGGCATCTGCCTTGCGGGATTTATATAAAGGGGACGCTGATTAGTTGGGGGTGCGGGGGCAACGCCCCCGCGGTACGGTACAGGGGTATTTTTGTAAATACGTCCATATTAGGGTTATATAAATACTTAAGATGTAACCCTATTCTATAATGGAAAAGAACGGCCGCTCTCTCTCGTGGATGTAGGCACATTGCCGAACCACGTAAATCTCTGTGTGTTATTTTCTCCTACTTTCTTAATTGTTTGATTCCTTACTATTCACCATAATTGCTGCACGATCACAACAAAAACTAATAACACAACTAGTGTGTCTTTAGTTCAAATGAAATCTGTAGAGGTTTCAATCACATATCAGGAACAGCTCTTCCAATACTCATCAAAGTGTAAAATGCCGAAAAATTCATTCCTCATTTCAATACAAAGATCCCTAAATTATCTCCATGCAGAAAATAAGGGCATTACCATAAAACTTGTATGATTTCCTTCCTGTTTTGAAAAACCTAAGTTCTATTTGTTTTTTGAGGAGTGCAACTTAAGTCTTTGATTTTTTTTACTTTCGAAAACTCATACACACCAAACATGTATTCATTAGATTTTTTGCCTCATTATTCCCAAGGTTTGATAGCAAGTTCTACGTTAGCGCATCGATTCCCAATTCAAAGCTACGATTAAAACCCCAGACCCTCGGGTTTCTTTACTGACAAATGAATTACAAAAATTAAATTAACTTAGACTTTGTTGCATTGCTTGAAACTGGAATCTAAGGATTGCAAATTGCCCCAAATCTTAGCAGGAAATCCCAAAAAAGAGAGCTAAAGTTAACAATTCTACACGAGAAAGTTCCAAAAATTCCAGTTAAAACATTTTCGGGGACTATCAATTGGAAATTTCCTACAAGTCAAACAATCTAAAAGCCAGAAGGCCTAATTCCACCCAAATACATAAAGCTTCTATGGTTAACAAGTCTCATCATCTGGACACGGAAATGTAACGGCGTCTGGCTAGCATTATCGAGTTAATTCGTTGCTTCTTCAAGCAAGACTCAGAACATCTTTCCCAATCATTGAAAATAATATCAAAAAGTGAACCAAACATCTGCTAATTAAATTTCAAAAAAAATTACGTGCGCATTCAGATAGAGGTACAGAAAGGAAATCAAACCAGTTTCCAGAAGTGTCCGTGCAGTAATTTCTGAAGCGATCAATGCAAACCAGCGGCGAACGGCCTTCGCATAGATCTTCGAGAATCGATCGAGTAAGCTCTGCAAAAGTGTGTGTGTGTGTGTGTATATATATGTATGTATGTATGTATACAAACGCATAGAAATACAGTCATATCAACAGAAAAAGCTCTAAAAACGACAATCAAAATGCATTTGCATTTGAATGTGAATCAAAAATCGAGTGTTATGGACACAGTACCTCTGATTTTGCTCAGTAAATCGCAGGGTTGCGAATTCGGACGCTTTCCCTCCATTTCACGTGTTTACGTTGCGGTTCCTCGTGAAACAAGAATGATACCAGAGCCAAATTTATGCTGATTTCGTCTGGATGGTTTAACTTCCTTTTTTTGTTTTTTTCATTGTTTAGAAGTCATTTGTGTAGTTTTATTTTATTTTGTTTTTGGATAAATTCCATCAACAGCCCCTGAAGTTTCTCACTAGTTGAACTTTGGTCTCTCAACTTTTAGTTTCATCAATTTATTCTCAAAGTTCATATATTGGACAAATGTTGACACTCGCACTAACTATCATTTAAATAAGTAACAGAAAATAGAATGTGACGCAACCTCTTGAAAAGATAACGAACATTGTAGCAATAAGGGCAAATTTGCACGTAATACTTTGAGAGAGAGAGTAAATAAATCAAAGTTAAGGGAGAACTAAGCACAGTGTAGTTCATACATAAGGCAGAGTTTGTTGTGGTAATATCGTGAGAGAACCCCAAATTGAATAGAAAAGGAATCAGAAGTCTAAGCATATCGTATCGTGAATAGGTTGACTAGTGACCTGATAAGAAACAAAAACATCAAGTAATATTTGAATAGTTTTAAGTGATAATATTTTAATTCTATAGATGGAGTTGAGTTTTAATTTAATCAATTGACAAATTACTAGAGAATAATAATACATCAATATAATCTTTGAAAGTTTTAGTCCGTGGATGTAAATACAGAATCACATTATATCTATGTTTGTTTCATTATTTTTCCTATCTTTAATTCTTATACTAACAAGTAGTACTAATTTTTATCAATCATTGTGTAAAACCAACATCCATTTTATTTTAGACTGCATGCATGACCTTTTTCCAAACCCTCGGTGACAATATTCTTGTGCATTGATATACCCTTAAAAGGGAAATTTAACGAAAGGTATACAGTCGTGCACTATTAACAAAAGAGGTCAAATTTGAATATTTTTAAGGCAAGCGACAAAAATACCTTAACGAATGAGGTTATTTAAAAATTTTCACCATATTCTATTCTTATATTTATTATTACTACTATCGTTATCCCACCGCCATTCATCAACCCCCACCGCCGTTGCCTACCACCACCATTGGCAGTGAACTAAAAGGTAGTAAACTCAATGACAGTGAACTAAAAGACAATAAATTCAATAATAGTATTATTGATGACTTGTATTTCAAGTTAATTTTAGATTTTATTTGAAGCATTCCGTGGACAGCCCATAACTTAGTGCACTATAAGGTTTTTGTTTTAGGAATAAAATTTCATAGTTCATGAATTAATGGACTCGTTTAGGTACATAGCTAAAACAATGAACTTAAAGAGTGAAAGTCCCATAATTTTAAGTATATAGTTAGTTCACATAAAAAATTAAATTCATGATCCCAAAAAATTTATGCCCAATAAAAAAAATTTAATTTTAATAATTTCTCCCTATTATCAAATCCATAAAATTAGAAACCCAAAAATCAAAAATTAAAATAAAAAAGTAGTCAAAAGTCTAACTCATATTTACCTCCAACAAAAAAAAACAGCTTTTTCTTTTTCTTTCATTCTCTATATACTGTAACACTAACGCATCCTCCTTCTCGCTCACACACACACAAAATTGAAAATAAATTAATATTAAATAAAAAATAAAAGGAAAATTAATTTTAAATAAAAAAAATTTAATACTAAAAATAAAAATGTCTCATTTAGTGTTACCGCTTTAGGTCTCGAATTGCCTTGAACAGCCCTTATGACTTACAAAAATAGTTCATTTGTAATAAAGAGAAAATAAAAAGGGGAGATTCAATAAGACATAATGAGAATAAATTGTTTGCTTGCTATTTTTTTTTTAGAATAAAATTAGAGAGTGAGTAAGAATGAATTTCGTTTGCACATTTGTGCTAAGAGAGAGAATAATCAATGATATTAATCTTATTTTGTGCTAAGAGAGAAAGCAAAGAGAGTATCATTGATGCTTGATTGTTGCTAATTGCACTTTTTAACATGAGGGAGAGAGAGGGCAAAGAGAGATTGATTCTTGATTGTTGCAAGTGACTACTCCACACCTTTTTTATTGTTTCAGTCTTTTTCTTATCTCCACTCTTTTTTTTTCTTGCTATTGTCTCTACCAAATTTGGTTGTGTGAGATTACCCCCCAAGAAAAACTTTGTGACATATGGGCTAGAGTTTTGGGTACAGACCATTCACTCATAAAGAAGATCATTATTTAATAGGTTTAAAGTTCTTACTTTTTTAGTTTTATTATTGAATCTACTCATCATCTCTACATACAATTGATCTTGGGTTTAATCTCTTACCTTATCATTTTTTCCTTATCTATGAAAGTGATAATAGACAGACTATAATAAGCTCCTTCTGTCCCAAAAAACATTATGAACAAAGTATAAATCCCAAAAAAAAAAGAAGCTAAAAATAGAATGTCTAACTTCTTTGGTTTTTAAAAGAAAATTTGATTTTTTTTTAATAAAAATAACAAGAATTGGAAGTATTACGGTTTAGTGATGCTATATATAAGACTTGATCAGACACAACAAATTGAACTATATAACACTTGATCAATTCTCAAAAGTTTTACAGGGATTCTCATTTTTCTTCCTGTAGAAACAGAGCAGACACATCAATATATGTATTAAAAATAATAAAAGCTGAATGGTACTGCTATCCTTTACAGATGATATCATCCCCTCCACCCAAGAATTTACCACAACCCATGAAATAAATTTTTATTAAATGAAAAACTTAAAAGATCAATGAATACAATCCAAACAAATCGTGTAATTACACTCTGCACATTTGTATAATGGCTTCTCATCATCAAATATGTGGCCACAACTATAATTTCTAACATTCTTCACCCTTCGAGTAAAGGTAAGAGGATGTGGGTGATCTTCCACTTTGTGGGTGCCTCCAAATTTGAAGTATGAATATTTATCCTCAACGCATTTAGGATGAAAAGAGTAGTCGCAATCACTACAATGATAGATCCAACGCCTTGATTTTATTTCTATCTCACAAATTTCACAATAGTATTCGTCAAGATGGTTTTCGATAGGAGGATAACTTAGGGTGAGAGGGTGTGCATCCCATCTGTGCCTTAGGGTACACGGTAAAAGAGCACAATAGAAGCATATACCGAAATTGCACTTCTTACATCTGTATCCGATCTAACGGCACATGACATTACATGCCCTGCACTCAAGAAGTAAATCTCTACTGGTTTGAACCAAAGGAAGCTTGTGGGTTTCATGCATAATAGTAGTTGGTAGGAAAACACATATGAGATGAATATTGATTGATCCCAAACCTGAGTAGCAGAATCCATTGCCATATAAACCACAAGATGAGCATCGGAAGAGAGAATGAGGTTTCCTTGCTCTCTTGAGCGTGACTGGGTACACGTGCCCCTGGAGCGCACTGTGATTGGGACGTTGTAACATACGTGGTAAGTTGACACAACTTAAATGGAGAAAGTAGTTGCATTGAACACAAGTGTAAAATAGAAGCGATATCGGTTGCACGCAACTGTCACATGATATTGTGTCATGCTTTATCTCAGTGTTATTTTGTCCATCATAAAGTATTAACGAATGCACATGGCTCCAATCTTTGATATTTGATTCTCTCTTATTCTCTTCATTACTAATTGGGTTAATCTCATTTTTCACCCCAAAAAATTGTTCGAATCTCAATTTGTACTCTCAAAAATCAAAAATCTCAATTTACACTCTCAAAGATAGAAATTTGTATCAATATACACCCCCAAAGATCAAAAATCTTAATTTGTACCCTCAAAGATAGAAATTTATTTCAATGTGCACCCCAAAGATAAAAAATCTCAATTTACACCCTCAAAGATAGAAAATTGTATCAATGTGCACCTAAAACTAAATTAATAAATTATACCTAGATCTCCTCATACTTGTCACTTAATCATTTAGACCTCTTCACATTTAGAATATTACTCATATATCTTATGACATTTGTGCACGTATAACACGTAACCCATTTTCATTAATATCTATTAATATAACCGTTAAAAAATATAATTTTATCCTAATAAAAAATTATAATTTCATATTACCATTTATTTTATGGATTCAATATATTCTAAAGTTCAAAATCTAGTTTATCATTTGAATGTCTAATAAAATGTAAATATTTATATAATGTTTTTCATATTACCTTTTATATAAATATCTACATTTTATTAGACATTCAAATGATAAGCTTGATTTGCAACTTTAGAGTATATCGAATCCACAAAATAAAATGTAATATGAAATTATAATTTTTTATTAGAATAAAATCATAATTTTTAACGATTATATTAACAGATATCAACGAAAAGTGGTTATGTGTTACACATGCACAAACGTCATGAGATGTAAGAGGAATATTCTAAAAGAGTTCAAATGATTAAGTGACAAACATGAGGGAATCTAGATATAATTTATCAATTTAATTTTAGGTGCACATTGATACAAATTTCTATCTTTGAGGGTGCAAATTGAGATTTTTTATCTTTGGGGATGCACATTGATACAAATTTCTATCTTTGAGGGTACAAATTGAGATTTTTGATTTTTGAGAGTGTAAATTGAGATTTGAACAATCTTTTAAGGTGCAAAATATTAACCCTTACTAATTTGTTCAACTGGATGTCTAGCGAGAGCCACGAAATTATCGGCTAATGGAAAGTGTAGCAGACGAAGGTGGAAATGTTCATAGTCTTCATTCTCACTTCCACTGCCTCTGAACCCACAAAACCCCAAAGACAAATTTTACTCAGCAATAATTAAACAAAACATTGTAAGAATTTTGCAGGCAGCACATGAGAAGAAGAAACAGACGAAATGATTGTGATTAAACTCACCTCAAAAGCTTTGACCTTGAAATTGAGCATGTCACATGGATACTATATTCGCACAGATCACAGGAATATAGCCAATTCTCCGGCGTTGGGTGGATACGACATATCTTGCAAATGTATCTAAACTGGGATAAGTCAGATGAAGGTGGTTTTACAAGAGTGAGAGGGTGATGTTGATCATCAAAATGGATGGTACTAAGAAATGAAGCACAATTTTTGTGAATCCAAAAAGGACAAGTGTGACATATGTAAGATGAGTCTTCATCTTTCTTACCACAAGCATTACAATAAAACGAAGCTGGCCTGAACAAAAAGGCTAATGGGTGCTCATGAAATTCAAGCGAATTCTACGTTCCTCAAAGAAACATGGAAGACAAATATAAAATTGGCAACCGTAACACTCATAGAGGAAACCATCGTTATTTACACTTCGAGGTTCTCTACACAAACTACTTTTGTAATTAAAATGAGCTGCACAACGTAGGAACAAATACTCACTTTCATCAAATCCCCTCAGGGTTAGAGGATGCTTAGGGTGCATGGGGTCTTTGATTGTTTGAGGGAGTTCTATACATCTTTTGTGCAAAAAGAATTGATATTGGTAACACCAGTACACAAAATCTGAGATCGGCTTTTTACACGCATAGCAGACATTATACAAGTCGATCTTACTCGCTTCCATGAGGATCAATTGGTGTCTATGGATAGAATGTGTGATGCTCATCTGTGAACTATGGGACTAATGAAGGATACAATCTTTGAAATATGGAGAGAGAAGATGAGGAGATGCAATGATTGGACTCAGACTACAAAACCGCTCTTCAACATTCTATTTAATCAAGTGTCTCCCTGCCTTTAATTTCCGGGATTTAAGAAATTAAACAGAGAGAAATATTATTGAAACATAATTTGAGGATCAATGGATTGACAATAAAATACATTTAATGCTACAATGGATATCATCATTTATTGGGTTACGGTTTCATCAATAACAGCCATAGATCACTTGCAATGCAAGGCTAGTATTTGACTAATTGCTCAAAAAAAGAAAAAAAAAAGGCAAAATGTTACATTTGTTCGGTTTTTAGAAAAGAGCATTATTCTTTAGAGAAAATCTTATTTTACCCCCTAAAAGATACAAAAATTTTAAGTTTGCCTTTTAAATGATTAATTTTTTCACATTATCCCCTCAAATAAATAAAAACATTACAATGTGGTTCAAAAATATTTTTATTGAAACGTTTTTGGAAACAGATTGCAACATTTTTGGACCACGTTGTAATATCTTTATTTTTTTGAGGGGTAAATGAATAAATTAATCATTGGGGGGGGCAAACTAATTTTTTTTGTTTCTTCCAGGGAGCAAAATGAAAATTTTCCTACTTTTTAATTGTTAATCAATAAATGATGAGATTTGGAGCCATCACGAGCTAGCCTTATGGCCAAGATCTCACCTCCAAACTACCTAGTTTGAGATCTAAACATTATATTTTTTTAATCCATATGTTTCTATGGTGTAAAAAAACATTAGTAATTTTTACGAGGTATAATACTTAAATTCTATCCAATCTAATCTATTGACAACTCTAATCCACACATGCATCTACCAAAGAATTGCCATTCATTCATGCCAATAGGGCATCTAGAGAAGTGTCCCACCCAAGAAATTTAAAAAGAAAAGAAAAGTTACACTCTAATAGATATTTAGATGTTGATTGTCTTCTTCCCTTCTCTCACCTTTGTCTCTCTCTCTCTCTCCATTCAACTCTCGACTGAAATGCAACAAACAAAGGCCAAAAACACTCACATGCACTCCAAAAAAAAAAAAAAGAAAAGAGAAAAGAAAAAGAATGCAAAAGCATCTCTCTTTGGACACTTTTGTGTATACATGTGGGTGAGTGTATGAATGTATACTCTTAGAATCTCCCTCGATGAGCATTCCTTTTACCAAAATAAATTAATAGTAAAATACATTACATACTACAATAGATCTCATCATTGATTGCATCATGGTTTGTCAATAACAGTCATAGATCGCTTGCGATGCAAGGCTATCATAAGACTAATTGCTCAAAAAAAAAAAAAAGGAAAGGGGAACCTTACATTTGTTTGGTTTTTAGAAAGGTGTATTATTTTTAATTTTTTATTATCACGAGCTGTAAGAGGTAAAAATCGCTACGGGATTTTAGTCCTCCACTCGAAGGATTCCGGCTGACCTGGCAGCACCGAGCCCCAGTAGCCTTTACCTCTCTTCGGCCCGTAGGAGCTTGTCCCACATCGGAAGAGAGTCGTCTCCCCCCCTCGCATATAAGTCTTTGCACTCAAAGGAGCATCGGAAGAGAGTCGTCTCCCCCCTTCGCATATAAACCCCTGCACTCAAAAGAGGAGGTAAAGGCTATTGGGGCTCGGTGCCGCCAGATCAGCCGAAATCCTTCGAGTGGAGAGCTGAAATCTCGTAGCGATTTTTATCCCTTACACGAGCTATAAATATGACCATGATCTCACCTCCAAACTAACGTAGTTTGAGATCCGGACCTCAATTTTTAATCCATAAGTTTTTGTGGCGTAAAAAAAAAGCAAGAATAATTTTGACAAACTCAATTCTACACGATAATAAATAAGTTGAGTATGAATAAAATAAATTTTGACATGACACAATTTACACAATATAAAAACATGACACAGCCCTATCTAATCTAATCTATTGACAACTCTAATCTGCACCCATGCATCTACATACAAATAGGGCATCTAGACAAGCGTCCCACCCAAGAAATTTAAGAAGAAAATAAAAGTTGTATTCTAGTGAATTCAGATGCTCAATGCCTTCTTCCTTTCTCTCACCGTTGTCTCTCTCTCTCCACTCAACTCTCGAATGAAATGCAACCTAAAGCACTCGTATGCGCTCCAAAAAAGAGAAAAGAGAAAAGGAAAAGAAGCAAAACATCCCTCTTTAGATGTTTTTGCACTTACGTGTGGGAGTGAATGTGTATCCATATACTCTTAGAATCTCTATTAGAGTAGCTTTCTTCTTATCAAAATATATTTTATTATTTATTTAAAAAATTTTGGACAAAGTTTCCCATAAGAATAAGACCCAAATAAATTATTAACCTATTTAGACAATTTATAAAACACTAAGTACACAATCTACCTCAATAATATGTTGATTAAACAAATAAAATGCAAACCCCACTTGGCATTCCTCAATTCAATCAAATTGTGTATTATTTCCTAAATCATAACCCACAAATTAATGTGCCCATACAAAGGCCCAAATAAATGAAGGAAAAATTTCATTCACAACCCCTATAATTAGATCTAAATTTAATGACACCTTTCCCCGATTTTAAAATTTCACTGTCACCTCCTGTCAGTGTTTCTCGGGTTACGGCGTTAACGATAATTGTTAATTTATAGAAATACCCCTAAATATTTTATAGAGTAAATTTTATCCGCACCCTTTGTAAATAGACATAACTTCAACGACACCCCTTACAAATAGTCATAAATTTAACTATACCTCCTCTCAATTGTCAATGCA